GAAGATGCAGGGAGGTACGGGGAAATACACAGAGAGACGGACGGAGAGACGCAGGAAGACCGAGGGGAACAACACAGACGAACCAGCAACTAACAGAGGCAGACACAAGGTTTAAAAACACAGAAGGATAACGAGGGAACGAGACACAAAAGGAGGGCACAGCTGGGAGTAATCCGACCTGATGAGACGGGGGAAAGTAAACTGACCACAGTACAAACACAGAGTACAAACACCCAAGGTAACCAAAACCACAGAATAATAATAAACTGAAACATAAACACGGAGTCACAGACATCTTCATTATGAACTTCCTTGTAATATTCTTTCAAGAAATAGAAATGTTTAAAATATAACAACTTAAACTGAGATTTTTGTAACTTTTTCTCAGTTTCAATTCAATTTTCACACAAGTGCCGCATTGCGGGATGACAACAATAGAAGAACAAAAAAAAATACAGTTATCATTACGGAATAGTTAAAGGTAAGTGGCGTGGCACAAACTTGATACGGGTAGAAGTTAAAATCGAATTTGTTTCGAAGGCCAGCTTAAACAGGTGGATTTTTAAATGTGACTTGAATTATTGAATGGATTCCAATGGATGGACATCAATCGCCAGGCTATTCCAAAGTTTAGGTGGAGCAATAGCAAAAGCACAATGCCCCCTAGTCTTCCATCTGGACATTGGTTGCACTAAGAGCCATTGATTAGAGGATCTAAGTGCTCTCTTGGGGGTATATAGGTCAAGGAGGTCGATTAAGTAGCTGGGCGCCAAGTTATTTAAAATTTTAAAAGTGTACAAAAGGATTTCAAAAACAATACGGTATTTGACGGGAATCCAGTGAAGGTTGGCTTAGACAGGTGTAATATGATCAGGTTTTCTGGTGCCACTTAAAAAACGTGCTGCAGCATTTTGGACAAGTTGCAGGCGTTGGATGAGGGAAAGTTGGAGGCCCAGATAAAGAGAATTGCGACTCTTTTTTTCTCAACTTCTTCTACTGAAGTTTTGAAAGAGCTTATTAAAAATATTACAATAATGTTTGCATGCTTTTGGTTCATATTCTCAAACATTCTCTGGTTTTGAGGCACAGATAGAAGAAAGAGCAGACAAACCTGTTAAGAAGTCCTGGAAGTCAAGGTCTGATGATTGTCGTTTTCTTTTTTTTTGTCTATATCCTGTAGTGGTTAGGTAACCTTTCTGTGATAAGTTAATTCAACAGTTTATTCAGTGAAATCAGATTTTTTAAGATTCACAGAAATGCAAAAAAAAAAAAAAAAAAAAAGTACCTTGAACCAAAAGTGCAGAGGAGCTTTCTTGTGGTAAATAGATGACTTCCATTTTCTACATGAATCTTTTCCTGCAAGCTTCTCAAACTCAGGTGGACTGTAAAAAGAGCCTTCAAACTCAATACAATCCTTACCTATAGTTATAAAGAAAAACTTAATCGTTTTCATGAAAAATTATTTATT